TTTTTTTTTTCGTTCTAAATTGTTGTCTCCAGTCTCCAGAAGTTGTTTCCACTTCCTTTCTATTAGACATCGTGCATTTAGTATAACTTTATAATCTATTCCATTTCTATGTTTCCACAAGCCTAACCCAAGTTATTATTCTTTTGGGTGCTAAGAGCATATTTAGCTCTAAGTATTTCGAACTTCTCGTTGTTGTCGTGTCTTACAATTAGATAACATTATATATTCTACTATACGTAGATCGTAGTACTCCGTTTCTATCTTCGTTGAAAAGTCTCTTCGGTATATCCGTTTTTGCTCTTTCTATAGTGTTTCCTCGTATCTTTCTTGTTCTATTAATCTTCTTTCTGTATTTATTCAGCTTGTTTCTGAATCGTGTGTACCAATTCCTTTTTTCATGTGATCTATCGTTGTCGACCAATTTTCGAATCTCCAACCACTTCTTGGGGTACTTACTTTCGCTTATGTTCGATATTTTCATTCAGTAGCTCATACTTTTTTTTATTATTTCATATTCCAGTCGATCTTGTTTTTATCCCAATTGTATAACCTGGAGTGTTTCTTGGCACGAGTAATCACTACTTTAGAAAGTCCGTTTGTATTTTTTCTAATTCGGCTACGTAGCGTAGCCCCCGTATTGTTACATTGTAGAGAAGCGTAGGTTTAGCAATTGCATCGAATAGCTCTTTTGCCGCGTTCCATTTCTTCGTTCTTGTTACAATTGGGGGCTTTCCGATTTGGACCAGATTTTGATCCGATTTCGGCTCGATTTGGACCCAATTCAAACCCGATTTGGAAAATGGCATACCTAAGTACGTATAATTAAGCACGTAACGTCCATATCTTCGATAGTTTTATCCGTGTATTTAATTTCTCTCGAGCCCAACTTTCTATTTGTTCTACATACTACCAGCTTCGTTTTGTCTGAGTTAACCGTTAAATTGTTCCTTTGCAGTAGTCGTATCGCGTGTTCACTTTCCCTTGCATGTTATGGAATTGTTCGCAGTTATCACGAGGTCATACGCAAATAGCAGTAGCTTCAATTCCCATCTCTATATTCCTGTAGCCTTTCCCGATATTGAAATATTCGACGATGCCTTGTATCATTGATACAAAATAGTTTGGACTGAGGTTGTTTCCTTGCAACGTTTAAACATAAATAATTTATTTATCTTTATTTATCTTTATTTTGGATTTCTGCACAGATCGATTATGACTCTGAACATTTACGAGCTGATTCCCGCTGCGTTTTATCTTTTCCACTGGATTGGGTGTTGTAGCGTATCAAATGCTTGTTTAAAATCCACGAACAGTATGTTCGTTTTGAAAGTGTTTCTGCTATCTTTGTTTGCAACACAAAGATATTATCTTTGCAGGATATACCTAATCGGAATCCTCCTTGGACTTCCGGCAGGATGTTATTGCTTTCGCTCCTTAGGTTTACTCTTTTGGCTAGCATCTGTTACGGTAGATCATAATCGACATCACCTTCTCTCTCACTCTCTTCATACCGTATACAAAACACCTAGACCATACCACATTACACTCATTATCGTAACATAAACTTAAGGCTAAGATTGC